TGCTCATATGCAAGCTCAAGTTGAAGCTGAAGAAAATTAGAACAAGTCCACGAGAGCCAAACTACGACCTTGAGTGTATCCCACCTGAATTCAGAGACCATCTCAAGGACAGATTTGACACACTGAACACTAATGACTGAAGACAAATCGTGGAATGACAGAAGGACATCATACATTAAGAAAGCAAGAAGTCATTAAAAAGACAGGAAGGAAAGAAAAGACCAAAATGGATGTCAGAAAAGACTCTGAAATTTGCTCTTGAATGTAGAGTAGCTAAAGCGAATGAAGAAATGACGACTAAAAGAGCTGAACAGAAGATTTCAAAGGATGGTCAAGAAGACAAAGTAAAGTATTATAATAACATGTACAAAGACCTGAAGAAAAAATTCAAGCCTTGAATTGCAATATTGAAGGATTCTATGGGCAAAATACTGAACAATGCAGGAAACATCAAAAGAAGATGGAAGTAATACAGAGAGTCACTATACCAAAAAGAACTGATTGACGTTCAGTCATTTCAGGACGTAGCATATGATCAAGAACCCACGGTACTGAAGGAAGAAGTCCAAGCTGCACTGAAGACACTGGCGAAAAACAAGGCCCCAGGAATTGACGGAATAGCAACTGTTTCAACAGCGAGCAGATGTAGCGCTGGAGGTGCTCACTGGTCTATACTAAGAAATTTGGAAGACAGCTACCTGGTCAACCAAGTGAAGAGATCCACATTTATGCCTATTCCAAAGAAAGGTGATCCAACAGAATGTGGAAATTATTGAACAGTATATCACATGCAAGTAAAATTTTGCTGAAGTTCATTCAAAAGTGGTTGCGGCAGTACATCGACAGGGAACTACCCGAAGTTCAGCCAGATTCAGAAGAGGACATGGAACGAGGGATATCATTGCTGATGTCAAATGGATCCTGGCTGAAAGCAGAGAATACCAGATGTTTTACTTGTGTTTCACTGACTATGCAAAGGCATTCGACCGTATGGATCATAACAAATTATGGACAACGTTGCAAAGAATGAGAATTCCAGAACACTTAATTGTGCTCATGAGGAAACTGTTCATAGACCAAGAGTCAGTCGTTTGGGCAGAACAAGGGAATACTGCGTCGTTTAAAGTCACGAAAGGTGTGCATCAGGGTTGCATCCTTTCACCATATTTATTCAATCTGTGTGCTGAGAATGAGGCATCAGGATTGGAGGAAGATTCATTAACAACCTGTGAAATGCAATGATACAACCTTGCTTGCTGAAAGTTAAGAGGACTTGAAGCACTTATGATGAAGATCAAGGACTACACAGCCTTTAGTATGGATTACACCTCAACATAAAGAAAACAAAAATCTTCACAACTGGACCAGTGACATCATGATAAAAACAGAGAAAACACTGAAGCTGTCAAGGGTTTTGTTTTACTTGGATTCACAATCAATGCCCATATAAGCAGCAGTCAGGAAACTAAATGATGTATCGCATTGGGCAAATCTGCTGCAAAAGACCTCTTTGAAGTGTTAAAAAGCAAAGATGTCACCTTGAGGACTAAGGTGTGCCTGACTCAAGCCATGGTGTTTTCAATCGCCTCATATGCAGGTGAAAGCTGGACAATGAATAAGTTAGACTGAAAAATTGACATCTTTGAATTATGGTGTTGGTGAAGAATATTGACTATACCATGGACTGCCAGAAGAATGAACAGATCTGTTTTGAAAGAAGTACAGCCAGAATGCTCCTTAGAGGCAAGGATGGCGAGACTTTGTCTCACATACTTTGGACTTAAGAATGGATCAATCCCTGAAGAAGGACATCATGCTTGGTTAGAGGGTCAGCTAAAGACAGGAAGATCCTTTAACGAGATGGATTGACACAGTGGCTTCGACAATGGGCTCAAGCATAACGATGATTGTGAGGATGGTGCAAGATCGGGCAGTGTCTTGCTCTGTTGTACACAGGGTCGCTGTTGAGTCGCAAGTGACTCAACAACATCTAACAATAAGAACTATGCACGAAGGTATTCACTGTGGGGACACAGAGGAGTAGGTCATAATACCTACCCTTTCAGCATACATATAAATAGAAAGAGGTCCGAGTAGAAATGAATGCCAAGAGGGCAGAAAATATAAGTGCAGTTTGGTAAGGCCTTACATAACCTTGATTCTTGACCCGATTACTAAAGCTGTAAACTTGAAAAGGGAAGAAAAAAAGTACACTGGTGATTTGTGCAAAGTCTATTCAGCTCAGGCCAAATTAGTTATGACAGCATTCTGTTGGAAAGTGACAAATGATAATAGGTGGGTAAGGGGCAGAATCTTACAAACAAGCCCAGTGAAGTTTGGTTTTATGCTGAAATTAAGGGGGAAACAGTATTTCTGAACAGGATCGTGGTAGATCTGGTGTTATATCCTCAATCTAGCTGCCATGTGCAAGGTAAAAGAAAGAACCTGAAGGTAGGGAAACCAGTTAGCACACTGTGCAAGGGCACTAAGCCTAAGACCTCAGGGTGGGCTCCAAGGTGGGAGTGAGGGTTTTATCTATCTTTTGAGACCTCTGGAAAGCATTCCCATGCTGAAGCTACTACAGTATTTGTTCACTGTGCTATAAGGATCAATAAACATTTTTGGGACAAAGATCAATAAATTATAAAGGTTCTGCTATGTTGCTGGGGCCAGAGGAAAGATGTATTCCTGCCCTGGGATGAGAAAAGGAAGCAAAAGGAGGTAAAGAAAGGGATCTGCAGAGAGGGAGGCACTAGATGGAAGTGTATCATGAGTTAATTTTAGGCATGAAACAAATATGCAGATGTGCAAACACTGGAGTAAATTTTTTGAAGGAAGTGTTTACTTTCCTGGAGAAATAATCAGTTATACTCCATCATAAAATGTATATTCTTCAGATAGCTGGACATGCAACAGAAATATAAATACACTTGATCTTCATGTCAGCCTTCTATAGTTTTATCATCTTTGCAAAGCAACCAAATCTTTTGACATCAAAAGGGGGAAAGAATTCAATCTCAGTGACTGAAGCACCAAATTTGGAACCATGGAGATGTCCCTAGGCCAATTCAGAGAAATAAATAGCAAACCTACCTGTTAATACTGGTAAGAAAAATTCCACAAAACCCATTCTTGCAAGAACCTGATGCTGTTCTGGGATAAGACAGCTCCTAGCGACAGAAGGGACTGGCTCAGATACTTTCACATTAATCCTCACAACACCTCTGTGGGGTGGGCTGAACATAATTATCTTCATTTAACAAGGTAGGGGAATAAAAGCTACAAAAAAGGCAAGGGAGTATCCTGGGGTTACAGATTTATCTGTGGAGATTCTTGAATTGGATCCCAACTTTCCTTACTCTTAAGAGTTGAGTGGTGTATCTGGAGAACAAGATGCCCTTGGTGTTAAATGCTGTATATATATGAGTATATTTCTAAAAAAGAATAGTGGTAAAAGTGCAACTGCTTTCATAACTTTTCTAAATGACTAGGTAAGTCAACTGATTATTTTAATGTAACATGGCAATTCCATTTTTGCATGGTAACCTATAAGGAAGAAATTTATAGTTGCAAAGACAACGCATAATGAAACCATTTTTTACATGATTAACTACACTCCCTTAGAAAAATCAGTCTGCTACCTACTGAAGGGGTAAAAACCTAATTTAATAAACATAAAAATACAAAACTGTGTTTTCTTTAGAAAAGGACTTTTCTCTCAGTTGCCTAATTGTATTTTCAGATGCAGGCAATAAAAATTAAAATGTAGCCCTGAGCCATTTCAAGTAAAATGGACATAACTGTAGCTTTTTAAAAGTTGGAGCCAAAAATATTTCACTTGTCATGGAAAAACAGAAATATTTTATAATATTTTATGAGAAACTATGCTAATATCTAGTGTGTAGATATTAAATCTGGAATGGCCTTTGGTGACACTACAGATTTGCGATAGAGAAAACTCATGAAATATCAGTTAATTTTGCTACTTATAAGTGCTGTGATTAAAATATAAAGCTAATAGCTAATACAGTTTTGGACTATCTGTAGATATAATTTTCTGCACAATTTCAATTCTCAGATATGAAGTTAATTAATATAAGACTGTAGACTGATTCAGATTCATTTAAAAATGTAAATTCTAAAAGTATTTTCATAAAACATTGCAATGCAACATGCAATACAACATCTTTGTATACGTATTAGTTAAGACAGACATTAGCTGACATTTTGTTACGCTTTCCTGACAATTCCAGTTCACGTAATCTGTCAACTAATACCCTCCCCTCTCTTTTAAATACAGAGAATGTTAGCACCCAAGGATAGTTAGTGACAAGAAACAGAAGTCCACCTTTCCATGTGGGATTCTTAGACTTGTGCATTCCATTTTTGTGCAATAATTCCTTAAGGTGATCTCTAGGCCACCAACACGTGCAGGTCTCATGTTCCTTGACAAAGAGTATTTCCTTCTCACTAAAAAACTAAAAAGAACAGTCAAGGAAGGGCTTTCTCTAGAAAGAGATGAGGAAATCCAGCTTTGCTTTTTTCAAGCTCAGAAAAACAATGAGTCAAATTTTTGAAAAGTCTGAATATAAAAGTTCCCTTTAGGGGAACACCACCAGCCTCATCATCTACACATTACAGAATAAAAATTAACTAAATGACTCCTTAGGCTAAATAGTTCAAGAAATCACATTTGTTTTCAACAATGCGGTACACTTTTAAAAATCAAGAAGAAATGAAAGGAAAAGCTGAACAAACTGTGAAAATAAAAACAACTTCCATTTTCCTGGCTCAGTTGAAACATGGCTGCTTTCTTCCATCAGTTAAAAAGAAGCCTGGGGAAACTGAAATCCAAGAAATGCAGCTGAATGCCATGATATAACAACTGGTCACCAGAAGCCCACAGAGAATGAGTTTTCTCTGATTTCAGCAAACTATCGAATGTTTGCTGGGGTGCACAGTATCTCCTGCCCCACAAACTAAAAACAAGTCACAAAAGGCAAATTAGAATATAAGTTTTTTAATTTTTATAAATAACTTATCTGTTACAAAGATAGTTTACCCAGCTAAATCACAAAACCATCCACTCAAGATATCCAAATTACGTTTTATTAATAAAACAAGTAAAAACTGATTTATCAATCTTCACATAGAACTGCAGATGAAGCTGAAAAAACAAGGCCTATGTTTAAAACAAAATGCATCAAATGCAAGGGCTCTGGGTCTATTGTCTAATTAACTAGGATTGTCATATTTCTGTCCATATACAAAAATGCAAAGCCTGGAAGTCAAGGCTTTGGCATTCATCTAGATCACCTGTAATAATCCTGTTTATTTAAAAACATCCACTTGCAAACATGTACAGTGGGTGACAGTTTACATGGTCTCCTATCTTTTGCTACATTTCAGCATTTCCCTTAGCCCCATTCCTAAGCACTGACATACAATTTCATAATTCTGTCTTTTTAAATGCATACTGTTCTTTTTCTTGATTTTGTTTTGTTATATACATTCCTGATCATCTGAATATTTATTTTCCTTATAAAAATATATCATCAAAATACAGAGATGCTTGAGGTTGCTTCAGTGTTCAAGTCTGCTTTTCTTTTTTCCAGCTTTTCTTCAGTTGTCCTCAATATGGCTAGCCTTGTTTTATAAATACATACAATACTGCCACCAGGTCAGGTTTAGAAACCGACTGCCAGAACAGTAAAGCATTTAAACTGTCTGTAAAAAGGGCTGCGGGTACTGCTGCTGTTGCTGCTTTTGAAACTGTACTTTCCCCATCATAATCTCTTGTGCAAGTTCTGCAGGACACCAGGCAGATGAAGCCAGCTCAACCTTGTTGCTCTGTCAGTGGGTTAAACATATGTCCTAAGCTTCCCTGTGGAAGACAAAACACTGTATTGTGTCACTCACCGCTGAAGTCAGTGTGTGACCTAGAGGCACGATTCTTTCCTACTTTCTGCAATCCACTGTGCAGCATCTGCATGTCTTCACAGAACACTGGCACGTATGAGGGCCAGTACAGAATAAGGAGAGGAAAGGGATTTTGTGCATAGTTTCATTTCATTAATGCTTTTTTATTTTAAGGCATTGCTTCTCTCAGGTAAGGCATAAAAAGGGACATGATCGTGCTTAATCACTAAAAGGAAAAAAGAAAATTAGTTAACAAAAGACTATTACACTATACATATAGAAATATAAGAAAATAATAAAGAAGCAAAGAAATCACTTAAAGCAGACTTGAGAGATCTGTACAGTAAGAAAAGCTCTGGGGTGTTTCACTGCGCGTTTGTACAGACAATGCGTGCTGCTCTCCTTTTCATCTTTAGACCCTAGATGCTGGCTTCACAGAGTGAAGACATTTTCAGGGAAGACAAAGACAAGGCCAAGAGTACCACAGATGTGTGAAGTCCTTCCCCTATCCATTGGCACTATGCGGCAGCAAACAGTTTAAATAGTTAAACCTTGTTCCTTTTCTTCGTGCGTGTAGTGTTTCACTGAAAGCTTTAAAAAGAAAAAAAAGCGATCATTCTATTCCTTCCTCCTGTCAAAATTCAGTAGTGACATGAGGGGGAAAAGGTACTGGGAACACCCAAGCATTAACATATTGAGAATTATCCATGATGGGATACTAGTAACACTGTACACGGTTAGGCAGTGGGCAACCAAGTCTTTCAGCAGATTACCCTTCATGTGATGGATTTCACTGCCTATGACATTCTACTGAGGTATTATTAGCTCTGTGGGCTGACTTTTAACATTAGCACACCACCATCTTGTCACACCTTCAATTTGACAAAATCCTATGTAGCAGTGAAACTTTTCCCCCGATGACAGACTAGATTCTTGAACTTTAGATGTGGATTTAGAGAAGATATAGGGCCTTTTGGCTCAGAAATGCCTTGGCATCTCACACTGTTCACAACGGATTAAGGCTGGATGGTTCAAAAAAGTACAGGCAGTGCAATTCCACTGCGCTCCCTCATCATCTTCTGTGTCTTGATTCTTTGGTGTTTTGATGGTGGACCGCTGATCTGCAAGGAAGCAAAAAAGAAAATTACTTCAGAAGTCAAAATCACAAAGTCTGATACAGTACTGGCAACTGTAAACACTATCTGTACCAAACAGCATGAGGTAGCTTGTTAACCAAAAGGAGCACCTAGCTGAAACTGACACATGCTTGATCATCATCAACTTCTATCAAGCTAGTACTTTTCCTCTGGGATATAATCACCTCAATACCGTCATAAAAGGGAGAAGAGCATCCTTTTCTCCAATTTATAGCAGGGGAAAAAGGAAATCAATTTCATATGGCAAATAATAGCAAAGATTCTCATAATGTCACTTAAGATTGTGAAAACACTGATAGTGTATTTAAGGCTCATTAAAGTTAGAGCTTCATTTTCCACTGAAATAGGATTTGCATTTCTGTTTTCAATCAGGAATGGCAGTTTCTGTTGAATATTCTCTATCCACTGAAAGTGTAAGCTTTGTGCAACACAAATAAAATATAAACTAATTTCTAAAGTCTCAATTATATAGCAACAACAGACTCTGGAGAAGTAAGTTCATGTAAAAATTTCACCTTACTTTATTTCTTACCCTATTTAGTATGTGGTGTCAGAGGAAGAATACCAGATCAAGAGTCATGAGAATTGGGTTCTGTTCCTGGCTCTGCTACAAACTTGATGTATTCTGTGCATCTTTGGTAAATCACCTATCCTCTAGGTCTCATCATTTTTGATTTTACAATAAAGAGACTGACCTAAATCTGCAAGGTGACTGCAGCTCTACAAGGCCAGTGTTCTAGAGTGCTTGAATAGACGGAGGTGTTGTATGTAAATGAAATGATGATGCTCCTCAAAGGTTGTCTGTAAGGTGAAATTACACTTAAACTACTTTCTTATTTGGGTCCCATTATACATTTAAAATAGTGTTCTTATAAATTATTTTTCGGCAGGTTTAAGGTGAAAGGAGCATGCATTATTAAATTTCTCCTGTCAAGGTTTATAATTTGAAGCAATGGATATTAATTTGCAAATTCCAAGTAATCTACTGAGTTGCTAAGTAAATATCTTTTCTGTTATTTTAAAAGAGAAACTATTGTGCTTAGTAGATAAAAAATAGAAAGTCAATTTTTATATCAAATTTAAAACAAGTAGTGTTTACTACTTAATTTGCCAACCGGGAACTGTTACTGTTGCTGCTGAATTGATTCCGACTCATGGAGGCCCCATATATGTCAGAGTAGAAATGTACTCCATAGGGTTTTCAATGGCTGATTTTTTGGAAGTAGACTGCCAGGCCTTTCTTCCAGTGCACCTCTGGGTAGACTTGGACCTCCAACTTTTTGGTTAGCAGCCAAGCACTAACCACGGACAAGGCAATCGATAGTGCACTTAATTTTTTTAAAATGAAATGGGTTTCTTACATCCACACAATCTCATTTGATACTCAGACTTAAAATATTTTTATTAGAGGTATTTGGAAACTAAGTACCAACCAGAATTGAGGAAAAGAGGAAGTTAGATTGCAAAGGATGACACGTGATTTCTACATTTAATTTTAGCTGTTAAAAAACTGCACAAAGCAGAACTGATTTCAAGAACTAAATCTCTGTAAATGAAACTAATGTCTCCTTATCTTAGCTTCAAGGCAAAACATGACTGATTCCTTATTTCCCAAAAAACAGACAGCATACAAGTGTCTATCTTTTGTGAAAAAGCTTTTAAGTAATCGATTTCTTTCTTCTTTTTACTATGGAAAATTACTCATGAAAAAATAAATTTCCCTACGGTGTCTTCCTCATCATTTAAAATTTTAAAGAATACAATTTTTTTGCACCAAGATTTGCTGCTTTGGGGAGTATATAATGACTCCTGAGGGATGCATACTATGAACCCATCCAAGAATGTCAAAGTTTGAAGTACTTCTACAGTAGAAGGTGGCTAAAAATAAAAATTTTCTAAAATCTCATTTTTCAAAATGTAAATTTTCACATTTAATGGATACACTACCTTTGGGTTTTGGTGGCACAGGACCTACAAATCCAATATTGTCATAAAAGTTATGAATAGCGCTGGGATTAAAATGTGGTCCTGAAATATATAAAAAGTAAATATATCAATGTTTATAGCTCAAAAATACTTAATTTTATTTTTTTAAAAGCAAGTATTTTCTTTCTAAAAAGTATCACAGTATTAATAAAGTCAATGCTCTTATTTAGCACTTTTAATCTCAAATTACATGTAAGACTTCCCAAACAGCTGAGGTCATTATATTATTCATAAACAGAGGCAAGTGGTAAATTGGGAAAGAAGTCAAATTAATGTGTTAAGACATTAATGGAACTAGAGCCCTGTTCTATGTGTCAAAATAACTTAAAATTTAACAATTTAAAATATATCTTTTAATTATCAAACATGGACTTCAGCAACTAAATAGTTTTCCCCCAAGTAAGTATAAAAACCTCACACTAATGGAATGTAATGGTTCAGATTTTAAAACAAAAGGAGTTCAAGGATTCAATGTAGTTTCTGGACCAGTACTTTCTTTTCTCTCTGAAGTTAAACTATGGCATTTTTTTGTGAATGTTTCAAGATAAAGAGATTACCAACATTTTCAAGGAAATAAATAAAGCTAATCATCTTTCAGTTTAGTGGATTCTGGAATATACTCAAAAGTGTGATCAAGGACTTGTTTTCTGCTGGCTTCCTCCTCTTTCCTGCCTTCTTCATTTTACGTATTTCTATTACTTTCCCAACTTTAGAATTATGGTTAAATTACTAAATTTCCTTTTAGTAGTCTATAGAACTGAATTAAATTGTAAACATTTTTTACTACACTTAAGTAATTATGGCTTGTCACTAATATCTCAAGTATAAAAACTGTATAAGCCATATTTGTATTTGTTTTCTTCTCTATTTTATCACATAAGATAGTGCCATTGATGTGGAGGTGCCTTTTTAATTATGTTCTTAAAAGCATGATTCTTGAAAGGCAAAAGAAAAAAATGAAAAAATAAAAAGGTATATGAGTAAATTTTATATTTTGATATTAATAAGTATTATCTTAACAGATTCCATTAATACATAAAAGCAATACTTTTGACAGTACACCCAGACAAACTAATCACTGTCTTCTCTTAATACATAACAGAAGTAGGTTTGAATGATACAAAATTTATCAAGTTACTCTTTAGCCAAATATATATTTTTTGGGAAAGAGAAAACAAAAACCCAATAGTTCTTTAGCATGATCTGGCTCCAAAGTCAAGTATTCTGAGACAATAAGCCTATGACTGACAAGTTGGTTTTCAGCCACAGGAAAAGAGTTGGAAAATCAATACAATGAATTTCAGCTGAGTATGCACTGGACTACTTTACCTCGGGCTTGAAAAAGATCAATTTCTTTGGTCAGGCAGTCAATGTCAATTTGCAGTTGTCTATTACAGCTTCTCAACTGCTGCATTTCTTCAAGCTGAAAAATAATTCCATGTAAGAAAGGTCTGCATTTAATTCTCATGTCATTAATAAGAAAGAGTGATGTCTGGCAGAAGGGAAGGACAGAAAAGTGTGAGTTAAGAGCATTTCTAGAAAACTGTATCAATGTAAAAGCTATACCGGAAGGACCTGGAGCAGGCACTTGACCAGTGTTTGTGGACAGAGGTGGATTAAGACCCAGCTATCAGGTAAATGATGTCACTGAAGTCCAGCTCCCTTTTTATAACTCTCAGGGATAAAAATATAATAATTTTCAAAAGTCTCGGTAAAGGCTAGGTTTTACATGGTAGAATAAATTATTTTTAATTTTAAGATTGAGAAGACTAAGTAAGTTGTAGCAAATAATATGAGTTACAAATGTAAATGAATTATATACCTATATAATTTGTTAATAAAACTGCTCTTCATCTAAAAAAAAGAAAAAAAAAAAAGAAAACTAGATCAAGTCTTTCCACTCTTGCTGCCTGCCTCTCTCCTGCTCAAAGCATACAGGACACCACAGTTAAAGAAAGACTTACTGAAGGTATCTGGGATATGGAATTCGATCTTTTCAGGCGCCTCCGAGTTAGATTATTTTCCATTTCATTGACCTCAGATTTTAGTTTATCCAGCTTTTTCTTTTGAATCTCAAGCTCTCTTTGAAGTCGTTCCATCCTGGCCTTCTGGTGTACCAATAAAGCTGCAATACACATTAATAAACATGAGGACCCACCCACTTGAGTCAGTTAACCTTTAAAAGCAGTCTCTGCACAATAAAACAAATGAACAGTTTTGTGATAAACAATTTTCCAAGAATCCCAAAGCCACATTAAAACAGAATACTGTGAGTTTGAACATTCAAAATTTCAAAAAGTTTAACTTGAAAATTGTTTCAATTATTCAAACAGACAAATGTCACTCACTTTAATTTTTATTTTAGGGTTTGGATAAACCCACTTTATGGCTGAAGACAGCATCTTTAGCCTATTACTTTTCTAACGGCTCTAGTCAGCTCAACTAATTTATTCACTGCTAGTTAATTCATATCTGAACCTCTGAAAGGACAAGTCCTTCTACTCCAAAGAGTCTGAGATGTCTGGTCTAGACAAGAGGTATTCTAATATGAATGTTTTTTAATTTTATATTTTAGAAGGGAATGTGGAATAGGTCAAATCCATTTTGGTGTATGCAATAAATAAAGCAGACTAATTCAACCCACATAAATGTTAATGTTAAATGGTGCAAACTGGAAAGTATCAGATAAATCAAATATTCATATTTTCTTATACTCAGATTACATTTCGTGAAAATATTTCCCCAAGATTTTTAAAGAAACAAAATAAGCAATCCATCTTGTAGCATGAATGATGAACTACTTGGGAAACCTTATTAAACCATAAAAATTGGTCTTGTGTTTTTGTGACCCATCCCTGGACAATGTTTGAGCCTCTTCCGTTACGATACTGGACTAGATGTAAAGAGATCTCAGTCTACTTCTATAAAAAAGATAGTTTGAGATGATCTACCATGAGAAAATAGGTAGATATGAAAAAGTATGATACGCAACCTTTAAAAATGAAAAAGTCATTAAAATGAAAAAGTCAAATAGATTAGACAGATTCGATTAATGCTGAATAGTCATCTTCAATTACACTCAAATTTCTATGAATCAAAAAAATACAAAAAAATGCTTGCTTCAGCAGCACATATACTAAAAAATAAGGAAAAAGCTATGATGTACTAAGGTATTGCAGGTCATTCAGTCCAGTAGTGTATTTTAGAGACCAGAATCAGGGTCTGGAGTGGGGGAGGATATTAGGCTCAAGCAGTTCAAAATTAACTTCAAAAAGAAGATAATCTTTCTCGATAAATATCTGATGCTAATATAATCCACAGATGTGTCCCTCTTACTTTCCTCTCTTATTTATTGAAAGAAATAAATACTAGGGCATTATTCTTCAAATTTTAAAAACCATGGCCTATTCTAATAAACATTAAAATTCTGCTGTCCCTTCTCCCATTTTAACATATTTTCTGTGAATGCAGGGAGGTGTTTTACGGAGGCACACACAGACCTGGTTGAAAATTCACTATGTCTTTATACAACCCCACCTAACCAAGCTTGTTTTGTCAGGCTTTTATTAATATGGTTTATTTTATTTGAACTGCAGAGTTTTGTCCCTCTATTTCTAAAATATGAGATTTTGTACTAGGAGTTATTTATTCTCCAAAAAGAAGTATGAGGATGTGAGCTGTTATTTTTTGAGTGGGACAAGAAGAGAAGAAAAGATGGAGGTAGGAAGAGGGAATAAAGAGCAACGCGAAGGAAAACCAGAGGAGGAATATACTTTCCTTCATTTCTAAACTCCAGCCACCTACCAATATGTCTCAAATGGCATTAACGGAAATCTGTTTAAATGAACTATTAGTTTATTTTAAAGCATTTAAAAAAATTAGTGCTGTAGATTTTTTTCCCTAGAAGTTTATTTTTTTAATACGTAAGAAAAATATTAAACACATTTATTGAGCAGTTCTAATTACTAAGTGATGGTTTATGTTCACGTTGAGCATGGCATCCATAAAGGAAAAACCCTCAATGAAGAGAAGCTCCCTAAACAAAAAGATTATACAATAGTCTGAAAGAAGATATGAAAGTTTGTTTAAAATGATTACAGTGATAAGAGAAGGAACAAAAACCATAACAAAAGACCCTATGAATAAAAGAAGGGCAGATTTGAAAAAGTACCATAAGCAATCTCTAGAAATCAAAAAGAGTCACTGAAATTAAAAAGTCAAAAAGACAGGTTAAACAGTATATTAGATGCAGTCAGACACTACTGGCAACCTGCAAGGTAGATTTAAGAATACTACACAGAACACATAGAGATAAGTGAGAGAAAACAGGAAGGAGGCGTTGAAAGATATATGAAAGACCCTATATATCTAAAACATATATATCCACAAGGAGACAACAGATAGAATGAAGGAGAAGCAAAATTCAAAGACATACTGGCTGAGAATTTCCCAAAATTGAAGAAAGAAAAGAAAAAACAAATTCCAGAAAAAAAAAAATGGAATGATTTGTTCAAAGTGCTACATGAAAATAATTTAACCCAACTAAATTATCAGAGTATGGATGAAAACTCTTGATCCCCGAGGGGCAATACATTCCACTTGAATTTAGAGACCATCTCAAGGACAGATTTGATGCATTCGACACTAATGACCAAAGACCAGAGGAGTTGTGGAATGACATCAAGAACAACATAAAGAAAGCAAAAGGTCATTAAAAAGACAGGAAAGAAACAGAAGACCAAAATGGGGGTCAGAAGAGGACTCTGAAACTTGTTCTTGAACAAAGAGTAGCTAAAGTGATTCAAAGAAATGAGGAAGTAAGAGCTGAACAGAAGATTTCAAAGGGTGGCTCGAGAAGACAAAGTAAAGTATTATAATGACACGTGCAAAGACCTGGAGTTAGAAAACCAAACAGGAAGAACACGTTCAGCATTTCTCAAACTGAAAAGAATTAAAGAAAAAATCAAGCCTCAAGTTGCAATATTGAAGGATTCTATGGGCAAAATATTGAACAATGCAGGAAGTATCAACAGAAGAAGGAAGGAATATACAGAGTCACTGCACCAAAAAGAATTGGTGTCAACCAATTCAACCATTTTAGGAGGTAGCATATGATCAAGAACCCTTGGTACTGAAGGAAGAAGTCCAAGCTGCACTGAAGGCATTGGCAAAAAACAAGGCTCCAGGAATTGAGTGAATACCGACTGAGATGTTTCAACAAACGGATGCAATGCTAGAAGCGCTTATTTGTCTATGCCAAAAAATTTGGAAGACAGCTACCTGGTCAATCGGCTGGAAGAGATCCATATCTGTGCCCATTCCAAAGAAAAGTGATCCAGTAGAATGTGGAAATTATCAAACAGTATCATTAATATCACAACGAAAGTAAAATTTTGCTGAAGATAATTCAAAAGTGGTTGTAGTGGTACATCAATAGGTAACTGCCAGAATTCAAGCTGGATTTAGAAGAGGACGTGGAATGAGGGATATCACTGCTTATGTCAGATGGATCTTGGCTGAAAGCAGAGAATACCAGAAAGATATTTATCTGTTTTTTTATTGACTACGCAAAGGCATTTGAATGTTTGGATCATAACAAATTATGGATAATATGTGAAGAATGGGAATTCCAGAGCACTTAACTATGCTCATGAGGAACCTGTACATACAGCAAGAGGCTGTTGTTCCAACAGAACAAGGGGATACTGCGTGGTTTAAAATCAGGAAAGGTGTGCATGAGGGTTCTATCCTTTCACCATACTTAATCAACTTGTATGCTGAGCAAATAGATCTGAGAATCTGGACTATATGAAGAAGAATGCGGTGTCAGGATTATCGGAAGACTCGTTAACAAGACTCATTAACCTGAGATATGCAGATGGCACAATCTTGCTTGCTCAAAGTGAACAGGACTTGAAGCACTTACTGATGAAGATCAAAGACCACAGCCTTCAGTATGGATTACACCTCAACATAAAGAAAACAAAAATCCTCACAACTGGACCAATAAGCAACATCATGATAAATGGAGAAAAGACTGAAGTTGTCAAGGATTTCATTTTACTTGGATACATGATCAACGCCCATGGCAGCAACAGTCAAGAAATCAAATGATGCGCTGCACTGGGCAAATCTACTGCAAAAGACCTCTTTGAAGTGTTGAAAAGCATAGCTGTCACTTTGAGGACTAAGGTGTGCCTGACCCAAGCCATGGTGTTTTCAATTGCCTTATATGCATGTGAAAGCTGCACAATGAATAAGAAAGACCAAAGAAGAATTGATGCCTTTGAATTATGGTGTTGGGGAAGAATGATGAATATTCCATGGACTGCCAGAAGAACGAACTGGACTTAAAAAATCCATCTATACATTGTTTGTAAGAAACACACTTAAAACATAATTCACTCATCTATTCATTTAATAAACTGAGGGACTACTACATTGTCAGGTGCTGTTCTAGACATTTGTTAAATCAATGAACAAAACAGGCAAAAATCTCTGCCCTTATGAGCTTACACATCAGTGGTAGGAGGGAAAGAGGAGGGGGAAGGGTGGAAAATAAGACTGTAAACAAGGGGTACACAAACTATGGCCAAAGCTGTGAGTCAAATCTGGCCTGCTGCCTGTTTTGTAAATAAAATTTTATTGGAGTACAGCCATGCTCATTGGTTTATTTATTGCTATGACTGTTTTTGTGCTACAACAGCAGAGTTGAATAGCTGCAACAGACACAATGTGGACTGCAAAATCATAAAAGATTTACTATTTTACCAGATCATGTATAGCCTTGTTGATCATATTAAAGTCTCTGAGTAAAACAGAGACCCACCAAAGCACAGAAAGGTTCAAAGTAAAAGGATTACAGTAAAACAGGAATCCTGCACTTTAGGTGCCATTCTAGGAGGCACAAGGCAACAGCAGCCAGTTGCTGGAGGCTCTGAAGGCTGTGGTGCACTGAAGGTAACAGTAAAACACCAATCAGCTCCACTCCTGACTAAACTGACTCAACTCCCCACACTGATGACCTGACAGAAAAAGAGGTGTGCCCATCTGCCTGTCTCTGCTGTTCTTCTACAAACAATACTTGGCACTTGATAAAAAAAACTGCAAAACACACAGGAAAAT